GCACATTCAACTCTCTTTCCTGGAAATGGGTCCCACAGACAAATGGGATCTCAATAATAAATTACAGCCATTTGTAAGACAGAAGAGGGGGAACACTTACAACCAGTGATGAAACACCAAAACATTGCTCAGGATAATGTGAACCAGAAAATAAAGTACTTGAAATAACCCAGTCATTWGGCTGTTAGCACCTCAGAACTCAGAGCCTCACATCTGTTTTGCCTCCTATTGGAAACACTCAGCTTGTCTCCCCACATGTGCCACTTGCTTGTTATTCCTTCTCTCTACACATCTTCCCCTTCTCTTCATCAAYACTGTGGGAGATCAGAAATCCCCACTCTCAAACCGATCCTACTATTAATTTTGGTGATAAATCATAGTACAAGCTGGTCAAAACTGAAAGGAAATAAAAGAGACAAGCCCATTTTCTCTCTACAAGAGCTCTSGGGTGTGAGAAGCACGCGTTTGGCAGACTCACCCACATGTAAACATTGGGGGAAGCAAGCTCAGAGTGAAGAAGGGACAGGAACCGCCACAAGCAAGTATAAATGACAAAACGAGGGTTTCTGAGAGGACCTTCCAGACATCAGCAATCACCAYGGAAAAGGAAAGAGGGAAAACACAACGCTGCTGGGTATATCTTAAGACTACTAACAAGAGAGAAGGGATTAATCAGGTGGCCTGAAGGACAGARGAAGCATGCCCAGCTCGTGGCTCCAGCAGAGCAGTTTTACTGCTATCAAGTGGAAACAGACACAGCAGCAGAGCAGTTCAGTGTTTGCGGGTGCAGCAAATTTTAGTGGATACTGGTTTTGAGTCTTAATTATCTTTGTCAAAAAAGCATTCCTCTCCTCCCTCTAGCTGATGACATGGAAACAGGCAGAGGCACAACTCTCCATCTCCTGTCACAAGGGCCCTTCCAGAACAAGTACAAGACACCCAGGCAAGCAGAGATGCAGGGAAGCTGATGTCAAAGCTATGGGCAAGAAGGCGATCAAAAGTTTTACACTGACATTGGGAAATTCAGTTAGGATATAATGGAAAGCAGGATACAACCAGGGCACTGATCTTGCAGATGTGACAAGGATATGAAAAAAAAGGCTGTGGTGCTCAAAAGATAACACACAGTTGCTGGAGGTCATCAGATACCAAATTTGACAGTAACGTTCCCCTATACAAAAAAAANAAAAAAAAAAAAAAAACCAAAAAGGAGATAACTGACAAACATTACTGGATACATCCAAGGCAACATGATGACCAGCTCTGTTCTGAGGGACGCTGCTGCTGCTTTGAAATAGTGAAGGCTATGGAAAGAACTGAAAACCATAAAACCTTGTTCCCCGCTGCTACACTGATGCATTATTTCTCACAGAGACCCAGAAACACAACAGTCTCTCATTTAACTGCAGCATCTGGAATCACAGCATGAGAACTGCCTCAGCTTAGGTAATTTAGGCATATGCAGCACTTCTTCCTTTTAAAGCCCTGCAAGGTCCTGCTAGTAGCAGTGATCTAAAGGGAACACAACCTCTCACAATTCAGTAGTTTCTGGGCACCAAAAGGCACAGCCTCCCCATCTGGGAGCTCCTCAGTATAGATGCATCTTCAAAGCTCCTGGCAGTACATGGGTCAGTTCTTCAGTTGGCTTGGTTTGGGGTTTCAGCTGGTTATTCTAGTTCCAAGACACAAATCAGGAGCATGTTTTTCAATAACCAACAGTAATTTKCATATGGTTTTGACAAGTTTAAAGAGATCCAGTGACAGAGAATCTAATTGCATTAGAATTATTTTCTAGCTCAGACAACAGAGCAAATTATACAGACAACAGAGCTGAATTATACAGGTTCAGTTACAGAGTGGACAGTAGGTCAATATAAGTTTTTCACAGCTCTCAAGGTGAGAAGGAAAAGCAGCAAAGCATTCTGTCTTCAAAAGAAATATCATGATTATTCCACAAATTACCAGATTATCCCACTAAAATACATTCCTTTCTAATTGATACCTCATGATGCTCATTTCTATTTCACTTTGTGCCTTATTAGGTCACTGACAATGCTTTTACTTCATGAAAATTTATACCTTGAGATAGATGAAAGCTGTTTAAATTGGGGACATGATATTAGTCTTGCATATCAAGCTCCTTCATTCCTTTTTCTAAATCCTTTCCTCATTGCTGCAAATCCCTAATCAGAAGCTCTATCTGTATTTTCTACGAATGCATTGAATAACAACGTCAGCTGCCTGGAAATTTAATGCAGTATATCTTAAATGCAGGCACAACAGGGCCAAAGGACATTTCAGGAATTAATCTGGGTTGTAACATATTCATTGCCTGTCTCCGATTCCTTCCTAATGGAAAGTAAGTGAATCATTCACCTCTGTACTAAGTTTTAACAAAAAGTATCAATTACCATCTTGTGAGTATGATGGCAATACCCAGCCAGTTAAAAAATGACAGTTTGAAATGGCAGGGAAGAAACCATATTTTACATCATTTGCTATCYCCTCTCACATACTAAATCTCTACCAATTTTTCCCTCCAAAAAGGTAAGTAATTTCTCTAACAAATGTATCTGGAAAGGAGTATCAGAGAAAATCTAACAGCTGAAGTGCTGTAAATTAAAAACTTTGTAAAAATTTATTCTCTTAGAATTTTGMAGTACTTGTGACTTTCTAATTTAATATTCAAAAAAATCCATAAATACTTGTTTTTTTTCAACTGGCTCATCACAGATGATATTAAATAGACCTGACTGAACATCTTGATACATGTATGTTAGTATACCCTGTCCATACGGAACCTGAATATTTGATATGGCTTGAGGTGAGAAGGGAAAAGCTAAAAATCATGAGCCTCTATGCCCCTCATCCCAAGGCAAACAAAATCAAAGCCAGCACTAATTTAATTCAGGAAGATGATGTGAACAAGTGTTTTAGTAAGGCCTGAGATGTACTGATGCCTCTGCCATTTCTACTGAACCACCAGTCTTGAAACTCTCCTACCTAAAAAGCTACTTTGGCTAGGTGGGCAAGGATTAGCATTAAAAATCCTTGAAACTTTTACTCCTCTGATCCCAAAATATTTCTGAAATAGACAGAAGTTGGACTCAATACTCTCAGGCACATGGTGTGACTCTTGGGAGTGAAGGGCCAGGAGTTGGATTCAACGATCCTTGTGAGACCACAAGAGTCCAGACTTACAATACAACTGCACCACCTGGACAGGCATCTACAAGATCTCTTAGTGAGAACAAGGCTGTATTACTTTCCAAACAAAAGCATCCTAGAGACTTGTTGATGATTTTGTATTTTATTAAACACACAGTAAGATACTTAACGAGTGTGCATTTAATTCCAGTGTCTATTAAAWTGTGTTCAAAAGTTGTGTATTTCCTAACGATACAGCAGTAAGGCAAAAATAGTATTTTATAGCTAAAATTATCTATTATATCAATGTTACATAACATGCTATAAGGATATGGGAGATTAGATCCTGTAAAAACTGCATTTTAGCTATGTTGGATGTGAARTGCTCTCTCGGATGTGTCAGGATTGCAGATTTTCATTAGTGCTGAAAACAGCAAGTACTTCTTGAGACCAATCCAAAACAGTTCCCTAGGTTCAAGCAGTATAAAGTCCAAAAATAGAGACACTTCCCAAATAACCTATATTTGGATGACTTTGGTTTGATTATGTGACCCTCAGGACACCACAATACATCTTCCCTCCCTTTGCYTGTGTCTACAAGTAGCATCCTTTTTGCAGATAAGCAGTGGTGGAAGGAGCACAAGCAAGGACACTTGAGAGCACACCAAGAGAAATGCTGACCCAGAGTTGCACTGGATGTAGAGAAAATGGCTGGCTTTTCTAGGGAGCGCACAGCATATTGCCAGATCACAGTTCTATCCCATCTCTATGGGTCTGCAAATTTACAATTCAAGTAATTTCGCATATATCTGAAAACAGTGTGGTAAATGGGGGACTTCAGGGGGAAAAGAGAGAGAAGAAAGACAGGAAACAAATCAGTTTCCTTCAAGGCTTATCATTACTCAGAACACTTCTTTATCGTGACTCCACACAAACAGTGACACATACCAAGCTTTCTTCTCCTCCTCCGCCTGACAATAAAAGCAAGCAACACAACAAGGTGGTGACACCTATTTCTGAGGGGAAAGTGYTCTTGATTTATAGTCGGCTTCATAAGAAATTGCCCAATATAAAGTGGATTCTTATTCTATTGTCTTGGGGAGTAACAGGATCTGCTGTTTACAAACCAAGGAGTAAAAGCACCTTTCTAGTCACATTACCGCAGCACCCCCTTCACAAGGCTGCACACCTCACCCTTTGCAAAGGGATCTGTCCGCCCTGCGCCCTYCTCCCGTCACTCATTATCCTGGCCCGTTCCCCCTGGCCGGGAGCAAGCAAAAGCCGCCGGCAAGCCCGGGACTGAGGGTGYCAGCCCCGTGCCCACACCCCCGCCGCCGGCCGAGCCCCCTCCCCGGCCGRCCACGCCGCCGTGCCCAAGGCCGGCCAGTCCCGGCTGGAAACCCGYAAGGGACCCCGCAGCGGCTGCTGCCGCTCCCGCACGGGGACCGCTCCGACAGCGGCCGGCTGAGCCCCGCGGCCACAGCGGGACATCGCGGCCCCGCCCGCCACCGGCGCCCCRGGAGGATGGAGCCGAGCCCGGCCAGCCCCGCTCCCCGCAGCGGCGTGCCACGGTCTCTGCCCGCCGCCGGCCGTGACCTTGCGGAAGGGCTCACCGCTCCCGAGCATCATCACCGTGCCCGGCCGGGCGGCTGCGGCAGCGCTCGGGGAGAGCGGGGGGGCCCCGCCGCCAGCTGTCCGGGTGCGGGTCACCGCAGGCAGCGCCGCCGCCCGCGCTCCGCGCGTCCCAGGCCGACCCACACATAGGGGCGGTGGGGCAGGCTCCGCTTTGGCCATGTACACCCACCCCTCCGCCTGTGGCCCCGGGCCCCGCCCGGCCGGGCCGCCCCGCTCACCTGCGCCGCCGCCGCCGCCGCTCTGCGCCGCCCGCCCAGTTCCGCATCGAGCGCCAGCAGCGGCGCGCGCCACCGCCGCCCGCAGGGGGGCAGCGAGGGCGGGCGGAGCGAACCACTGACAGCCAGGGCGGGGGGAGCGCCTCGCCAGCCGCCCGCGGGGGGGCGCTGCAGCCGCACGGGGGCAGCGGCGTGAGGGGGCGTGAGGGAGGCAGGGTGTCGGGGGGGGAAACAGCTCTCCACAGCGGGCTGCGGCAAGAGAACCGGGAACGCTTCAGCCACGTGAAGCGTCGAATCGGTGCTTTCAGACCTCKTCCCGGCAAGCCGCAGGTGAAGCTCGCAGCAAAGCCTGGTTCCGCACGGACGAGGACGAGCTGCCTTGCAGTGAGTAGACAGGGTGCCGTGTACTTTCACCCTCTGTATYGCGCTACCTACTTGCTGATTTGCTACTGGCTTCATAAGATTACAAGCGAATGTGGTTATTAAAAGCTTGAGATACAGCTTTTTTTAATTCCTTCCAATCTTCTAAGAACCAGTACACTGCGCAACCAAATCCATTTATTAACAAAACCAAAACTACCAAAATAAACCCAAAACGCAATCAAAAGTGCCCCAGGTAACTCACTATATATATATATATATATATATATATATGGTGCAAAACATAATTTGATATTCCTCATCTATACTCTGCCAGCTGTAGATGAATTGGGTTTTGAGAAATACGCCCATTTTTTCTCCCTCCTCATTGATCTGAATGGATCGTGTGCAAATACAGCTGTTGGAGAAGGGTACAGCCACCCAGGAACACCTCCCAAGACTGTAATTCAAGCACCCCAAGATTTTTCCAGTGACCAAATCAGTAAAATTAATTTGAAATAGATCAGGTATAGAGACTTATAACAGCAGGACTGAGTCTCAGGCCCAGTCGGCATTTTGCAAACATAAAACTACAAAGGGTCACCAATCTCAAGGATTACTTGCTTACTTGAGCTCCATGGGCAAACCTGGGAAGCTTCTATAAGACAAAAAATAATTCTGTACTGATTGGCACTTTCAAAAAAGTGAGAATGTGAAGATGTAAACAAGGAGTTTGTATTTGACTACATGATAATGAAAAGGGGTGCACAAAGCAAACAGTGCTGGTTTTGGCTGCTAGAGTTAATTTTCTTCAGAGGCTGCTACAGGGCTGTGTCTTGGATTTGTGCTGAACACAGTGATGATAAYATAGAGGTTTTTGTTATTGCTGAGCAGGGCTCACACAGAGCCAAGGTATTTTCTGCTTTTCAGGCCACCACAYTGGTCAGGAAATTGGGGATGCCAGGGAAGTTGGGAGGAGACACAGCCAGGATAGGTGATCCCAACTGACCAAAGGGGTATTCCAGACCATATGGCAGCACACTCAGTATGTAAAGGGGGAGAAGAAGGAGGAAGAGGGGGATGTTTGGAATGAGGGCGTTCGTCTTCCCAAGTAACAATTACATATGATATGGCCCCACTCGCCTGGAGATCTGCTTGGCCGTGGGAAACAGTGAATTAAATCCTTGTGTTGCTTTGTGTGCACAGCTTTTGCTTTCTCTATTAAACTGTCTTTATCTCAACCCACAAGTTTTCTGGCTTTTACCCTTCTTATTCACTTCCCAGTCCTGCTGGTAGGCAGTGAGCAAGTGACTGTGTGGGACTTGGTGGCTGGCTGGGTTACAACACAGCAGAGAGGTGAGGAAAATCACCGTTTTCACCACTGACATCCATAGCAACGTTACAGGTTGTACCTTGAAAATCCCTCAAATTTACATGCAGTTTTCCCCTTCAAATTAAGGAGATGTAGCTCAAAAGAATATAAAGCTAGAAATTAAGCTGCAGCTCTTCTGTTGACAGCTTCATTATTTAGCAAATCCCCCAAAAGCAGGGCCCAGCCATTCTAATCTACCCAGTATTCAAGAGCTCTTGAGATCTGCTCGTTACTCCCAATGTCATACACCACTGCAGTCTCCTATAAGCCTATTCTTAGTCCTTCCTCTAGTTCAGTAGATTCCAATTTAAATATTATACTCGATGTAACACAGAGGCTTCAGCAGAATAGCATGTGATGTGGAGCCTTGCTAAATTGACCATTGCTTTCCTTTCCCATTGTGGCAGGGAATCAAGCACTCCAGAAGCAGTTAATGCTGGACAGCTCTCTGCTTTCCCCCTTCCTGCCATTCCCTTTGAGGTAATACACGTGTTCACCTATCCCTGGTGTTTCTCCTATGAATGCATCAGAAATGAGCGGCATATCAGGTGTCAAGTAGGGTCCTGCTGAAATCCACTCCAGGGCACACTAGATTACTCTTTCAATTCTGGCAAGGCACAATGTGCAGAAAATGAAGCAGAGCACATGGAATAAAGGGTTACATTCTGTACAGCTGTACAAATCGTGGCGAGGTTGTGTGCATAATGCATGGTCTTCATGATACACACTTAATCCAATTCACCTACTTGCCAGCTCTGGCACACAGCAAGGTGCATACCGACTACAAATCTCACACTGAAGGCCAAAAGAAACTGCCTGGGGTTGCACTGCTATTTCCTTCTCATCAGTTCTTGTTTCTCCCCACCACATATACTCACTTTATCAGCTTCGAGCTTGTTAGAGCAAGAACTTAGTCCACCCTCCTCCAGTCTCATGACAGCACATCGGAGAATGTCAAAATCCTGTATTAGGCTTTATTCTTTTATATAAACATTAACATTTCTCAAACAGATTAGTTAAAAATACAGATTTAAACAAGAATTTTTGCAATTGCAATGAGTTATAAAAAACAACAGATTATTTTACAGATTGTTACAAGTGCTTTACAAAGGTGCAGAGTGAAGGCCAGTGGCAGGGGACCAACCTCAAGTGCAAAATGGACACGATACCCTCACCACGGGCATAGCGCTCAGATACACAGCCAAAAAAAAACAACAAACAAACCAAAAAACAGACAAACAAAAAAAAAAAACCGAGCCATGTGAACCTATGCTCTTGGGATGCTCACCGGGCAAGCAAACATAGACCCCTATGACAGAGAAGACTCATGAGACCAAGCTACCAGGATACTTAAGGTTACATCTCTGAGATCAGCCGTAAGATGTTTTTTCCTGGAAGATAAGGAACGTGTTTTATAACAGTATATTTCTCTTCCGTCAGACAAAATATTGCTGTGAATCTTAGAATACTTATGGATGCGGATACTTAAAACTTGGGCCATAAATCCAGTGTGGATCTCACAATGCCCAAAGTGAAGAAAGGATACAAGACCCAAGTGTCCTTCTGAAGCAGTTGGCACTCCTCATACAGGAGAGACCTCCATATCCCATGATCATCACCAAAACCYTCAGCAAGTACCTTGGAAAGACTTTGGCAAAAGGAAGACAATGCAGGTGGATCTGATTACACCCAATATTCCTGCAGCCCATGATCTGCGAGTTGTACAGCCCACACCTTATGCAATGCCCACATATTTCACTAAGKGCAGTGTGTCTTCTCCTTGGTTGATACATCTTCACACCCACCTTGGAACACATACCACATGCTCCAGATTCCTGGAAGTTTTTGAGATCCTTCCACCACACCTACCTTGCCTAGGTACCAGYCCTATCCACCTATCTTTCTTCTATTACACCCCTAAAGATAAAATCTATGCCCTGATTTGTTTTGAACTAAAGTTGTCCAGCTGTTAGCAAATCAACGGTAAATTGAGCTGTCTGAGAACCACCATGAGATAAAACGGTGATGCATTACATTAAAAAAATCCACTACTTTATGCCTGACATCTTTGTGATACACAAATGTTCCCTACCCAGAGGACCTCCTTGTTAGACAAAGGGCACTACACATTACAGGAATCCTTTTTCCAAAGGAGGGCCARAATAAAGGGCAGCTCTAGAGATGAAGTCTCATAATAAAGAAATAAAAGCTACTTCTCTTGGAATCATTGTAGAGGGCAACACAATCAAGAGATTTTATTTATAGGAAACCCAGTGAAACCCCTAGAACATCCACACTGACTTCCCTGAGCTCCTCAGATCCAGGTATACTGGGGACCCTGCAGAAGCCTTTTGAGCTGGGTTACTSTCAACAGAGAGCTTTTGGCAAGTTCCTGCAAATTCATTTTGATAAACAGCGAAAAGAGGATCAATGGCAAACCCTCAGCATATGCTCAGAGAAGAGAAAAACTCTGAAGAAAAGGAATTGGAGGGCAGGGGGAAAGGTCTTCATTTCTACCGTTTTTGAATGTTTCACGTTATTCCTTTGGGGTACGGGCACTACATCAACACCAACCCCTCCGTCTGATCTACCCCAGCTGCCTCCTGCATAGTCTCATGACAACACTGAAACCCCAGGCTCATCACCCCCTGCATGCCCAGCCCAGGGGTCAGTGCTTCRGAGAGGGGAGGCTGGCTTCTCGTTAGCAAAGGCTGGGAGATGGCATTATGTCAGCATGTCAGCGCCCTGGGAGCATGCAGTCACTCATGCACATCCCAGATTTCTGAGAGCAGAGGCGGCAGCTTCTTGTCCTGCAGCCGAAGGGCAAACACCTGTTCAGAGTGGACACTGCTCAGTGTCCGAAGACTGACCAGCTTCATTAACATCCGTGGAAACATCAAGCGGTCCTGCAGAGCCAAACAGACAGCTGTTAGTAAATTCACCTACAACTTAGTTTAAAAACAGAAATTAACACAATYCATACTGTAACCATAGTCCTTCCTTCCTCTAAACCCAGAGTTCTCCAGAAGGATGGAGTGTGTAGGAACACAAATAGTACATCATGTCCCAAAACTCCAGCCTTTCCATGCTGGCTAAACGATGGAACATGATACAGGACAGCAGATTGTGACAGCTCACAAATCCTGCATTTACAACTGCTATCAAAGAGCCACAGAAGGGACAAGAATGACAGTACAGGCAGCAATACAGTACTGCAGGAACCGTGCCTACATAAACACAAAATCTGCTCGCATCATCACTGGAGATGTTCTGGTCAGGCACTTACATTTGGTCTGTTGATGCAAATGTAAGAATGAAGC